TCATTGTTTTATTTGTTATTATTTTTTAACATAATATATGAGTTGCAATTTGTGATAAAATTGATTATCTTTTTTATCACAATAACATGATTTATAATTTGTGATAAAATAATAAATTTTAGTTATTATGTAACAAGAAAATTAGATTGTTTTATGAAGAATTTTTTATCAAATAAAAGTTTATTACGATAAGAAAAGTCCTATTTTAAAAGGAAGTTTCCTCTAGTGTTATAAAAATGGAATCGGATATACTATTTGTGTTCATAGATAAATTTTTAACGATGTTCGATTTTGATTTGTGGTTGTTGATGGTCTTTCAGTAATTTAATCTTCTGTTGAAGTTCATTTGTCGATGCAGTCAAATTTGTTTGTAATATCTTTCTATAAACTTCTTTATAATTTTAAATATTTTCTCCTTTTAATAAATTAACGACCCCATTTACATAAAAAAATAACTATATTAATCAATTCAATCATAAATCGACATGTAATTAGAAATTTGGTGAGTCAACAACAACTATAAAAAATGAATAAGATCGATTAAATTCTAGAAAATATATCAAAATTGTCTTTTCTTTATTTATTTTTTATGCTTCATTGAAGACAAAGTTTATCTCACATAAATTAAAAAAGTTAACTTGTCAAAGATTTATGTAGGAACATAAAATAAATGTCTACTGAAAATTTGTTGCAGCAGAACAACGAAGATTGTTATGGTCTAATTGAGATTCCAAAACAAGTGTTTATTATCAGATAACAATTAAGTGAAGACTGAAGATGGGAGGCTTGAAACCGAGAAAGTACCTGGTGATGCTGACATAACGGTGATGGTTGGCTTTGGGTCTAACGAGGGCCGATGGGAGCATCGGAGCAGCGAACGATCACTCGACCAGTCGAGATGGAAGTACCGAAGCAGTGAGTGATATGGCGAGACCGTGCCTGAGGGAGGGGGATTAGGGATTGCAAATTTCCAATTTGGGGTTGGGAATAGATGACAAGGCTGTGTTTTAGTAAAATAGTTAAACGAGTAATTCAGATTGGGTTTAAGCCGGATCATCTCGGGTTGAGTCATTTCGGTTTGAGATTTGATTTAGATTGGGTCAAGTCATTTCGGGTTCGGTTTTAATTCGAGTTTATAGTAAGTTAGATCAAAATCAGATCGTTTGGTTTTCGGATTGGGTCAATACTATATTGGTTAATTTCGGATCGGATCAATATCGTATCGGTCAATTTTCGGGTGGGTAAATATCATATTGATCATTTTCATTTCGGGTCAATATTTATATTTTCGGGTCAATTTGAATTGAGTTAAGTATTAGTTCAATCAAGTATATATAAAATTATTGATATTCTTATAAGAAAAAATATATTTTTGTTTGTCAATCTTATTATTTAAATTCAAGTTCAATTTTCAAAAATTCAATGTTTCAAATTATACCATTATTTATGGATGACGATTTAACCCGAACCTGTAAGACATATTAGATTTTGTGAGTTGAATTTTTTATTGTTCTAGCATGAAAAGTTTATGGTACAACCAATTTGGTGAATAAATAAGTTTTAAATTATAAATTTTATTCTCAATTAAAAAATTTAATTAGATATTTTAATTAAACGTTTGATGTCTAATTATAAATATAATATTTATTAAATTTAAAAAATGATATCATAATTATATTTGAATGAATATTGATATAAATAATTTTATAAATGATATTACATTTTTTATAATATTAAATTATAAATAAAAATAAATATTTATATATTAGTTTGGTGGAGATGTTGAGCAGCGTATCACTTGTTTGGTTAAGTGAAGAGATAGGTGCTTTTATTTTTCAGAAATCTATGGTTGCAATTTGGGCAGCGAGTATGTGCACCTTTGGAATCATTTAGTTGATTTAAAGGACAAGTTGGGTGACATTCTTTAGATTGTTGGTGGTGATTTTAACATTGTGTCTAGGGTTGAGGAAAGCTCGGAAACTATTGGTTCAACTTTGGAAAGGGATATGGAGGATTTTAATAAATGTTTGGGGATTTTGGGGCTTGTTGATCATGCTTTTGTAGGTCCGGTTTTTCCTTAGTCCAACTGTCAAGGGTACTCGATCCTTGCTCAGAAATTGGACAGGGTGATGATTTTTTCCTAGGTGGCTGGAATTATTTCCTCGTGTTGTGGTGGAGATCTTGGTTCCTTCTCCTTCGGATCATTGTATGGGTGTGGTTGGAGAAAAGGTTTGTGTTGTGATGGAATTATTTTTCCATATGAATTAGCAGCACCAACCAAGCAACCTCGGTGTTAAAGGAATTGTTGTTCATTCGTTGAGTGTTATGTTGTTTGCCAATATTATATGCTTTATTGAAATCCAACTTTAACACTACTCCCCCGAACCACTTTGACCCGACGCCATAGAGTGTATAATTTCATTGACTATTAAAATCCCATCCACTGTCTGTCGATCATGAAGATATGTGCATCGAGTATCACTAATAATTTTATCAAGAACAAGCCTCAGCCTCCTCGAGAGCACCTTCGCAACGATTTTATACACCGAGCCCACTAGACTTATTGGCCTATGATCGGCCACCTCCAAAGGATTTATGACCTTCGGAATAAGCGTAACGAACGACGCATTTACTCTTGGCGGAAGTTTACCTGTCTCATGGAATTTCTTCATCAAGTTCATCAAATCCCCTTTGACAATTTCCCAGCATTCCTTGAAAAAGTGCATATTATGGCCATCAAGCCCCAGTGCTTTTGAACTCTCACAATCCCAGATAGCTTCCTTAACCTCACGCATCGAGAATGGATCCTTCAACTGAGTGTGATGCCTAGAGTCGTGCTTACAAAAGGCAGTCAAAAAAATAAATTTAATGATGTGAGAGACATTAAAGTTGGATGTTCCTAATAGGAATAAAATAATAGGAAGATATGTGTGGCCTTAGGTGGTGAGGTAAACACTCTGAAATTAAGTCTATGGAAGTTGGAAAAGTTCACAAATACCATTTGGTCAAAAGTATGAGAATGAGATCAAACTTAATTGGGACCTTAAATATAATTTCCTTGTAGGATTTAATCAAACTCTGTCTCAAGTACACAATTTTATTTGGAGGCAAAACAACAGTAGAAATGTATATAATATTTGGAGAAGAAAATTTCCATCTTGCGTTTTAGTCTTCGAAGGTAATTTCTGTTTTTCTACCAGCGTTTAGGATTTAGGGTTTAGGGTTCATAATTTTTTTATTTCTTAATACTATTATTAATATATAATTTATTAACTGGTAAATTTAAATTAAATATTATAGATGTCCGTTATAAGAATAATACTTTTAGCTTTAGTTTTTTTAGATAACTCGTATATTTATATATCGAAAGATTATTGTAAGATGTTTCGAGAGTACAAAAGTATAACAAAAAAATTTAGGGAACTGTTACGGTGCTCAACGAGCACAGCTGAGCATCATTAATTTAATTTATACAAATTTTAAATTTTAAAAAATTCAACGTATAATCATAAATTAATTAAAAATCTAAAGTTAAATCATTTAAGCAAAGAAATTTTTTAGATTTTTTAATTTAAGAGTTGATATTTGATCTAATTATTGTTAAAAGAAAGTTATAGAAACTAATGTAATTAAAATGTTTTTTTTAATATTTCACCTTTAAAATTTTAATTAATTTATAATTATACGGTACTTAGTGATGCTCGTCGCGATAGACTCGTCCAAAAATTTAATACTCAATCAAGAAGATTTTACATTTTACAAATATTAAAATTTACTGAACCTATCCTGTTTATTTATTCTATTTACATCATCAAAAATTTTATATTTATTTTTATTTAAGAATCTAATACTTTATTTCATTGAATCATTAACGATTGACCATAATTATTTTTTTCATTAATATATACGTATGCGGTTGATATTTATCATTTGATACATGGTGATAATCCACGAAATTAGACTGTTTCAACTGACCAAACAGCCCTTCCATTCAATTTATTTGATCATCAATTCCTTTTTCTATTTTGTTTCCTTTCTTTGAAAGATGGAACTCGAAAAATCAAACTACTGCTATAACAATACTTGTTCGACATGATAATTTTTCAATGTCGATGTAGCAGTACTATCCGGTGACATAACATCGTCATTGTTATTTTTTTAACGATAAATGAGCAAAACAGAAACTACGTAATAGATATGTGACCAAAATAGGTAGTTTATCCTTGGAAGAATATGACTAAGGAAAAAAAAGGGATACAAAGAACCTCATCCATGAATTTCAATTCAAAAGACAACCACAAATTACCAGTGAATCGAAGGACGGCTTAAGAAACTTATGGTATACTTCTTTCCTACATTCACCATTCAACACCAATTTCTATTTTTCTTTTATAAGAATTATGTTGTTTTTTTTGTTGCATTAAATTTGGTTCGTTAAAGTGTCTTTTCATTCTTGATTCATCTAGAAAAATCCAACACATATTAGGGTATTGAATCAAATTATTAGCAAAGATTATTCTTGCTCAAAGAGACCAAATTAAGCAATTCAGCTAGGGGTGCAACGAATATCACCGACCGTAAGGATGATTGAGCATTTATTATTAAATGGTTGAGAATATTTAAAATAAATATTTCTTTATAATCAATATTAACTTGATAAAAAAATACGAGAAGTGAAGCAGGAGGAGTAAATCGATTTTTTGGCTATTTCGATTTTAATTTGAAAATTAAATGTTTATACTCTACTCTAATTTATCTTGAATATTTTTAGTGTCGAGACTGATCGGATTTTAAAAAAAATTGTCATTGTTAACTGAAACTATCATATATATAGTAAAAAAAAATTATATTCTTATTATATCAAATATTTTCTTATATTAATATATATGATGATTAACACGTACAAATTTATGAGAAAGAGAAGGTGATGGTATTAAGATATACAAATTAAATAGACAATGTCCAAAAAAATTATGATCGTTCTTCATCTTTCCGATTATTCACCAATAAGGAGTTGCAGTTTCAGATAAACTTAAAAGTTCCTCCAAATAATCAGCACCTAAATCCTCCAACACCAGTACATTCTCATCTTCCTTCATCGTCTTCGTGTTATCCGCTCGTCTCGTTTTCATGGAGTACCTTTTCTTCATCGTCAACACAGGCGAGCATCCTTCTTCAAACCCGTATTCCATTTCCTGAAGCGATTCGTAAACTTTATCCATGGGGAAATTGAGTACCGCCATTGGACCTCGCATAGCCAATGCAGCTTGATCGTAGGCTAACGCTGCCGATTCCGCCGTATCGAAAGTTCCGAGCCAAACTCTGACACCATTCCTCGTCGAATCTCTGATCTCGGCCGCGTATTTCCCCCACGGCCGCTTTCGAACACCGCGATACGACACTTCCTTTGCCGTCTCCTCTTCGACGGCGGCCGCGGAGTTCACTTCGTGCTCATCTCTGGAACTACTGGCTTGATTCAGAACTCCAAGAAGAAGCATTTCCTGGGAATCGTTTTCATTGAAGGGAAGACCAGGGTTATGGTGGTGATAGGTGAACGAAGAATTATTTTCTCGGGAAATGAAGGAAGAAGATGATTCAGAGGAGAAATGGAGATTTGGGTATTGAAAATATGAAGAATCCATGTATCTGAAAATCAAAGTAGAATGCTTTTGATCTTTGAACAAGCTCTCTTTGGTTGTAGGAACTGGAATGAAATTTGAAGGCTGGGGATATTTATAGTGAGCAAGGGAGGGAGATTTAATTTTATTTTATTTTTTTGAAAAAGAAAATAAAAAAGAAAGAAAAGAAAAGAGGGTAAAAATACATGGAGAATCTAAAAGCGTCAAACATCATTATTTGGTCGTTAGTGGAAGTTAATACACGTGAGTCAAAGGAAATATACGTGGGGTATGGCGGCCTGGTCAACCCACAATTTTGTTATTACATCGCCACCTTCATCATTTTAATTCCCACATTATTTTTGAGTTATTTACATACTGATTATAGTTTTTTTTTCTTTCCCGGTTTCTAAGGTTTCCTGAGTCGCACACTTAGTTTTAATGTGTGAGTCTTCCAATAAAATATTTTTACATACATAAAGATTCAAACTCGATGCATGTTTAAGTAATATCAAACTGCTTATCACTTGAACCAATCACATTAGTTATGGGCCATAGCCCCTCAAAAATGTTTGGGTAAACTATATTTTCAATATCTAAACTATTATTTCATTTCATTTTGGTGCCTATATTTTTTTTTGTTTCAAAATCATGTCTAACATTTAGTTTAGGTTTCATTCTGATTCCTTGTCGTTAAAACTTAACGGTGATGTTAATATGTCATCATAATATAATGTCATGTCAACATTGAAAAAAATAAAAAAAAATCACATCACTAGTTTTGTTAAATTTTTAACGGTTAGAAATTAAATTGAAACCTAAAATAAATGTTAGGTGTGATTTTGAAACAAAATAAAATTTAGGTATCAAAATGAAACAAAAATTATAACTTAGGTATTAAACGTCTAGTTTACCCAAAATATTAAAAAATATTAATATTAATATTAATATTTATATAATATATATTAAATAATTAAGTTTAGCTCCCTAAGAAACATGTATAATAAGTTATTAAATTCGGTTATACAAAAGATGTGCATTCTACTTTTGGATTTAAAAATCACTTAATTATCATTTATTATTATTTTAGCAATCATTTTTAGTTATTATTTTATTATTATTAAATTTGGTTATACAAAATAAGCTTAGCAATCATTTTTTATATTATTATTTTATTTTTAGACAAATGAAAATTTATGTTCCTTTTTCAATTTTTATTTCAAGATATAGAAAAATCTTTTTATTTTTAGTATTTAATTGTTCATCTTCTTTGAGTTGTTCGTTTTATTTGATTTCAAGATATAATTTGATTTAATAAAAATATTAGAATATTTTAATTAATATATACAATTTTTTTAATTGGCCCCCTCAAATTCCGCCACTATTGGTTACATAGGAGTTTTTTCATATAACGAAGAGGTTATTCAAGGATAATATTGATTAAATATTTGATAAATATGAATCGATATAAATAAATAATATTATATATTTCGTTTAAATTAAAATATATTATTAAAATATTAAATATTCGATATAAAAATAATTATCTAAACGTACCTTAATTAATTTTAAGACTATCTAATGTTATCACCTATCTTGCACTCCAATTGATTAATTCCGCCAGCAAAAATGAAGTGATACTATCATAAAATGTCATGCGACATCGCTGGAATTTGATACATGATTAAATTTAGAAAAAATAAAATTAATTCAACATTTTAAAATTATATTTTTTAGAAAAACATATTATTTGAAAAAGTTATTTAGATTCTTTTACTTTTTTGGATTTTAAAAAAAGCACAAGTTAAAAAAAATAAAAATTCTCAAACATATATTTTACAAATTTATATTATTTTATATTTATTTAATTTTTTAAAAAATTTAAATTTTTATATTACCACCTACACTTTCGGATTGTCATGTGATATTTTCTAAGAGTACGTTACATAGCTGCCACAATTGAGTTCCTCATCCTATTTCAAACAAAATCTAACCAGTGGTGACTCTTCATCGTCATTGGAGATGGGGGGTCGAAGGGAGAGAGACAACGCTTAAAAATAATTTTTTTATTATAAAAATAAAAAATATAATGGTAGACACCTAAAAATGTAATGTAAAAAACATTACACATATATTTTTTAACAAAAAAATTTTTAGACATCAAAAGTTAATTTAAGATATATTTTAGACACTTAAAATATATTAAACCTTATTTTAGACATCAAAAGCGAAGGCGATTGACAAATGAAAGAATTGAAGGCAGCCAAAGAAAAGCCCAAAAACTCGAATAAAATAAGCTCAAATCACAAATAACAAAACAATAAATATATAATCTATAATTACAATCACTTGAACTCAATTTTTCTTTAAAAAAATTAATAATATAAAATAATTACAATGTAATATATATTTATTTATTTTTTCAAATTTATTAATAATATAACACAATTTGTAATTATAACCGTTTAAACATAAATTTTTTAAATAAAATAATATTTTCTTTCACCTCGAACACGAAACGATAAGAACATAATAGAACACAACCCTATAAAGAGCACTAACCGGAGTTGATTCAAGCAATTCAAACCATCTGAGAAAAGGCGCCATATTTTCCTGCATCATATTGCTCATAATTTGATGGTTTTCCACTTCGTAAGTTGCTTTAAAAATTATTTTACCCAAAGTATTTGTGCTGAAATTGCTCACGTATCCTTTGGTCATTAAATAATATATATTTTTCTACCTCATGATTGAAATTGGGAAACATGTTTGCACCTCTTTTCACCCAAAAGGAAGATATAAAAATAAGTTATCTTTTGGTTTGACCATTATATTGCACTAGTGGGTGTTATATTTGTTTATATGTGTATATATTTTTGGGCACGAACCAAGTTATCTCCGTGATAAATGAATTATTATTATTTTTTTAGGGCTCGGGTTCGAACACCATAGATACAAATGTTGAAAGGTTGAGAGTGGTATTTGAACTTATATTGTAGTGGCGGATCTAGAAATTAAAAAACGAGAGTCTAAAATTTTAATACCCTATTCTAAAAAATTTTGGGTATGCAAATTTTTTTTCTATTCCTATTAACAAATTAAACTAAATTTAACACTTTTCTCAAAATAATGGGTGTGCAATGGCTCCCCATGTACATCCGCCCCTGATATATTACCTTGTACTTACTCCATATTAATTAAAAAATGTATATATTTTTGGGTAAATTGTGTGTTTAATATCTAAACTATCAATTTTGATCCGTTTTATTACCTAAACTTTTATTTTTTTTAAAAAAAAATCATACCTAAAGTTTAATTTTTGTTTTATTTTAGTACTCATGTTCAAAATTTACGTTATGTTTTGAATTTTTTTTAAAAAAAGTTTAAGTACGCAAACGAATCGAAATTGATAGTTTAGGTACTAAATTGTCAACAACATCAAAAAGAAAAATTAATTAAATATGGTAACGTTTAGATCATTCATTTAACTGATTCTTGCTTATAGATACCCTGCAAGTTGCGTCATTGTCGAGCAATTTTGATATTACTAACTTAATGGTAAGTAAATTAAGTTCTAATAATCTTTTTTTGTTATTGATATTATGTGTAATCCTTGGTCCCGTTCTAGCTATTGCACATCTTTTACATATCATTATACAGAGTAAAATTTATTTCATGAATCATGTTCACCGTGTTATAGTCTTAATCAATAAAAACTACATATCTTTTATCTATTTTATGTCATTGATCGGTTTATAATTAAGTTTCAAATAAGTATCCATTTTAATATTTGCGTGAGAAAAAATAAAAAATTATCTTTGGAGATAATGACGTAGAATAAAAAAGTAAAATGAGTGATTTTTTACTAGTTGAAATTATGGATGACGCGATCATTAACGAGTTTAAATATTAATTTGTATTTGAAACTAAAGTACATGTTTATATATATAGGGATTGGTTTGATTACATGCACTAGGCTAATTAATTTTAGATAATTTTCCTAAGCAGCCCACAAAAAAAAGTTACAATTGTTCAATTGTGGTATTCGGTTCATGCAATAGTAAGCATGGCTCCAAGACCTTATCAAAAAGAGGGGAGCCACCACTCCCCAAAATCGCATTACAAACCCTGCAACCATGCTCAAATAAAACCCATTCAGTTTACTTCTTCCTATGTTGTCTCCATTCTTTGTAGCATCGATCGGAACACCATCAGTGCTGCAGTTTTTACTGACAGGAGGCCCGCAGAGATGATTGCCCATGAAGGAAGAGTTATCAAAGCTTTGAAGTTGAGCGGCTGTTGGGATCGGTCCTGTCAGGTTGTTGTAGGACACGTTGAAGTGATTCAAGAAGTTCAAATTGGACAGACTTGAAGGGATTCCACCATGCAATTGATTCCTCGACAAATCAAGAGATTCCATCGACGTCAAGTTGCCAATGCTGTCTGGTATATTTCCCGTTAGGAGATTCCCTGACAAATTTAATGACAGTAGCCCATTGAGTCTCCCAAGTTCTTTGGGAATCTCTCCTATGAGACTGTTATCTGAGAGATCCATTCTGGAAACAAGTCCCAGTGTGGTACTATACTCGTTCTCTCTTCCTTTCATCAACCAATACCGCACCCATCAAGTTAATGATAGAATCTTCTTCATAATTGTAGAACCACCCAAAGTTACTAAATTTTTGTTTAGTGGCCATTGCACTTAAATTTCTTAAACAATTTGGAATAGCTCCTGAAATGTTGTTGTGTCTAAAGTCTAAGTTCTGAAGAGATTGAAGAGCGCAAATTGTATGAGGAATATGCTCTTCAAAGGTATTCTTCCACTGAAATGACTTTCACTGAGATCAAGAATAACCAACTCCGTACAATTTTTCAATGTGGAGGGTAATTCTCCAAACATGCTATTTTTTCCGAAGGTTTAGCATTTCAAGACTTGTATAACCCAAAGAAAATGGAATTTTTCCTGTCAAGTTGTTGTTTCCCCAATTCAAGAACAACTCCTGTCAACAGCTCCAGCAATCTAG